GATACCTACAGTTTTCAAATAAAGGAGTTCGGGACGATCGCAGCACATACACCTATGTTTTCCGCAATATGTGATTTCTGGGAATAAACTCTGATAAATGTTTTATTTGAAATGCTTTCAATGTGTGAACCAAGTTAAAAATGTGTTTTTAGTTATATTAAAAATGAAATTTTTGGTCTTGAATTTTGGGACGTTACAGGAAGTGTTAGAGTTTGTTAACACTTTCAAGTACCAACTTAGGTAGAATTGAGTAGATATCATGTCATCTTTGAATCCCATTGCTAAGTTGTCATATATAGAGTTGGAATCCTTATAAAGTTTGGATCTACTTTAACTAATTCATCATTTACTCATTTCTTTATTCATTTACTTGAATTGTTGCATATACCCCCCCCCCCCCTTATTTCTTTTTTGGTAACCAAAGTACCTTACACAAAAAGGTATAGACATTAGCCATTTGTCTTTGTGGATCAACTCTGCTTATCATGTACTACCTTTTACTTATCATGTACTACCTTTTAGTGCAATATGGTAGTGTTCTTTTGGAATATAATGTACCCCTATTGTTTGTTGGGTTTGGCACCCTAGCAATATTATCATACTACAAAAAATAAAAAACTAGCATAAAGCTATTGACAAGATTTATGTGTGTTTCAGACATGTTTTTTTATGTACCATATTTTTTCTTCATGTTCCTGACACGTTCATCGCATTTTGGACATGAATTCGTGTTCCATACACAATTTCTAGCTCTATATAATTTGACACAATTTTCTAGCTCTATATAAGTTCTAATTGTTCCTAATAAAAATATTACTCTTACAAAAGGCCTAAATAACAACAACTACCACTTCAAACGAAATATTTCATAGATATTCTTATGTTTGACTAAATTTAAATCAATAATATGCTTAAATAACATATTGTAGAGATAATTTAACCACAAAATTGTTAGCTCTTCACCACTAGAATACATTTTCATATATATATATATATATATATATATATATATATATATATATATGGGCTAGGTTATAATGTGGATGATATATATTGTGTGGATGTAGGGATGAATGTGGACCAAGGGTTTTACTTATTTTAAGAAAGTGATTTTACCAATATTACTAAATTAAAGAAAATCAAATAATCATATAAATCTCATTATAAGGGTATTTCAGTCAATTAAGCTACATTTTAAAAAATGGAAATTTTCAATTTTAAGAGATAATTGATTTTCTTAATTATAAAAATATGATTTTATAGGATAATATTTCACTTAATTCAGACATTCTGATAAAAGATGTTAGTGAATATGGTATGCATTCTGAAAGAATATACTTATTATATGATATCAAAAATTTCTTATAGCACAAAAACCATTCAACTTTTTATTTTTCATAAAAAAGTAATTCTTGAAAGAATTTAATGTACAAAATCCATTTCTTGAAATATTAATATATCGAGTGATTACATTTTATAAACATGATAAAAAAATATTCTTGAAGAATAACAACATTCTGAAATAATAACAAAAACAATTCTTAAAGAATAACAACATTCTTAAGCGTGTGATCAATCTTTGATTCCTTATCAATCCATTCCTATAAGGCCTGCTTAAGATGCTTGATTGTTGATAAAACATATGAACCAATTCAGGAGATTGGTGAAAGATGTGGTAGTACTAGTCCATGAATGACTTGCCAAATTGTATTTTTGCTTGTGTAGCAACTGCACATTCAACATATAAATATTAATTAAAATTCTATCAAAGTGAAACCGTCAGATTCCTAAAAAAATTCTATAGAATGCTGATATTGCCATATTTATACATATTTTTAGGCAATATTTATTTACATTTTTACTAATAATTTGGTTATTTGCATAGAATAATGGTACTTATAAGCTAAAATTATATTTTGCAGCCAAATAGAAGCATTTTCGAAGATAGGGACTGAAATTGACAAAACTTGGAACTTTGGAGGCTTGAAGGAAAGAAGAATGGAAAATTCAGCAATTATCGTACTCACGACGTGAATATTTCATGACTCACGACGTGAGTGGAGAATTCTAGAAGATATGCGTCCGGATGAAAGAGTCCTTGCCGAATACGCTTATCTCATATTCACGACGTGAGACTTATTGGCTCACGATGTGAACGGGGAAAAAATCAGAAATTATATATATCCTTGTCCATTACGACTTGGGGGACTTTTGGCTGATAGAAGGAAGACCTGGAGACGATTTTCAGAGAAAAAGAAGTTCTGGAATAGGGTTTCAACACCAAGGAAGAAGAAGTTCATACTTTGATTCATAGTTTGGTACACTTTATTATGTTTTTTATTATGGATTTTGTTTGCTTAGTTGCTAGGATATCCAGCTAAATCTAGCTGCTTCTGTTAGCTAGATGAAGCTTGAACTCATGGAGTATTTACTTTAGCTTTGAATTACTAGTTGGTTAAGACTTGTGTTGGATTGATTTTACCTAGCATGTTTGTTTTAGTAGTTGATTGCTTTGATGTCTTATTTTGTGTAGTTGATGACCATCAAATTGCATGAATTAGAATACCTGGTAATTTAGTGAATATTAAATTATTAGTGCTAGAATTAAACCAATCTTAGTTAAGCAATTAATTATTAAATTAGGCTGCGCTAGAAAACTCAAATTATGACTGTAATTGTGTTTTATCAAACCAATCTTACATAGCTCCAATTTTATTTAATAATTTATTCTGTGTTAACTATTGTGTGACCATACATAGATTTACATGAATTGATTAAAGTTAGTAGATTTAGAACTAAATTGCTAATACTGTCTTAATTGGTAACCAACAATAATTGTCATATCTAATTTATAATCCATTGAGTGAAAGCGGATTCGAACTAACAGAAATGTTTGTTTATTGATTGAGTTTGTGTTAAAGAATTAAGTTCATCTAAACTTGCAAAATTAGATAAAACCCCTTCCTTTGTTAATAATTAGGTTAATTTAATAGTAAGTAGATTAATTAGTCAATACCGTTCCCTGTGATCGACACCCGACTTACCCAAAGCTATACTATAGTCTGACTTGGTACACTGCCTAGGTGCAATTAGTTAGTTAAGGTAGTTAGGTTATAAATATAAAATTAGGTGTAACTATTTGTACGCATCAAATGCATTATTCACTAGTAATACCAGTTAAACATAACCATTTGGCTGAACCAAAATTATCATCATACAATTACAAATTACTATATTTGTAACCAAAATATATCTTATATAAATCTTAACAAGCAATCTTAAAGAATCATTACAACTAAAATGCAATTATCAATTTATATGCTGACAGAATTACTAATGTTATTATTATATATATATTAAAGTTGTGGAAGAAAGGAATAGTAAACTTGGGATACTTTGTCAAAGTTTGGTCCCTTGATTTATATATCCGGTCCCTGTACTTCCTTAATTAATTTATTCATGTCCTTTTGTTTGTGTTCCATTCAACTTCCCATTTTTTTGGCAGAATTGGTCCCAATATTATTGTTGGAAGTTAGGAATACTAAATTTGGATGTTTTTTGACAACTTTGGTCATTATTCTTTACTCATTTTGACACTTTTGGTCCTTGCAATCAATATTTTTATACTTTTTTAAACCTTTTAATATTTAAAGTTTGGCCACAAAACTTTAACGGTTTGACAACTTCGATCCCTTTTCTAAAAAGTTGTTAATTCCTATCCCTTTAATTCTTTAGCCATTTTCACACTTCTGGTCCTTGCAGTCAAAACTTTTACATTTTTTGTCCGGGGCAAAGCCCGGACTTTTCATCCTTGCACTTTCTATGTCTGTCATATTTATCAATTCGGAAACAACATTGAAAGCAACAACATTGAAAGCTTCTGGCCCCCGCGTAGCGGGGTAAACTTTCTAGTTGAATATAAATGAAAATATACAACGAATTTTGGTTAAGCACAAAAGTTCACACATCTCACAAATTTTACAAGTGAATAAGCTCACCACATAACTACAATATAATCAATAAACTAAAGAATTTGTAAAACAACAAACAAAAAGAAAAAAAAACAAACAAACAAACAACATTTTTTTGTTTCCACCTTGTTGAATCAATAGCAAAAACATACAAATAGAAAAAAAAAAATACTTCTTTGCTCTTATTCTGATTTGTTGCCGAAGTGAATGCAGGAACCAAAGGGATAAGAAAAAGTTATCTTTTTATTCTTTTAAGCATGTCGATCCATCAGAACTAAACTAATTTTTTGTTATTCCATTTAAATAACACGCATAAAAAACCATTTCAATAATTTTAGAAATCGACAGGTCTTTATAAATCGGCTTTACAATCTATTTTAGACTCGGAATTGGACAAAGCGTGAATATACTTACCGTCGATTTCAAAAACCGACATTACACATTTGATTTTACCTCCTAGGTTGCGACACCATCATCGGTGAAGGGGACCGGATCCGGAAAAACGAAGTTAAGGGAGGCGGCTGGAGGACGGGCGATGAAGAGGGTTGCCAACGATTTTTGGCCGACGATTGTATAAAATGTGTTATGCAGCCGCCGATTCTTATAGAAAGAGGGGGAAATTGAAGTTGACGTCTTCTATGTTTTATGGTGGTGGCTTAGGGTTTATATCACTAAAGTAATTTACCTAAATTAAAGGGCTGTATAATTTAACTTTTAATTATCAAAATTGGTGGTGGCTTAGGGTTTATATCACTATAAATTAAAGGGTTGTATAATTTAACTTTTAATTATCAAAATTAATAGTTATGATTACAATTTTACCCTTATTTATATTTTTAAATTTATTGCTTCACATTAATCCCTACATTCACATAATACTTGTCCATCCAAATATGAACCTAGCTCATATATATACACACACACACACTTTGAAATGTTCGATATATATATATATATATATATATATATATATATATATATATATATATATATATATATATATATATATAGACACACACACACTTTGAAATGTTCGAAATAGAGGATAAATGGAATTCGAAATGCGATTCTGAACTAAGTTCTCCGAAAACACTATATACAGGGGACCAAGTAATGAATCAGGTTCACCATGCGGGCGACCCAACCAAAACGGGTCTATAATATCCGATTATGGAGTTGGTGGTTATTTTGCAAAACAAATGTTTTTAGGTTATTTCCTTTAAATTTACATCAAATTATGTCTAGTTTTAATTATCAGTAAAATCTTCAATTATAATCGTGTTAGTGAATAACTCTTAATTATGTATTAATATTGCCAAAAAATATAAATTTACAAAAACAACCTAATTTCTTAATGACTTAGCCAAAAATAACAAACATAACCGGAGATGAGACTAACACACCTACAATTTCGTCACCTCCTTGTTTGACATAGTTTCTCGTTTGCGGTTTCGTCAGATGGGTTGCAGTTTCGTGGTACATTAGTCCAATATAATTAAACCTTAAAAATTTTTACCTCATTTTTCACACTCAATGATACAATAATTATGTGTCTTTGATGGCTGGAAAAGTCGTTCAATAAAACAATGTTTTAAGTAATCTTATGCATAGTTTTTTTATCATATAAGTTGAAATTTAGAAATAATTTGTATAAGGTTTGCATGGGAATCAGAAAAATGATGAATGAAACTGTCACCTGCGATGATACAAGTCTTTAATGCGTAGGGCGTGCATCAACAACTTGTACATTCACATACAACTTGAGAGAAAACCCCAAACCACTTGAGAGGAAACCCCACACTACTTGAGAGAAAAACACAAATGACTATATGACATCGCGATTTCGTGTCTTCGAAAATGGGCAAAATGTTTTTTTTATAAATAACACAAAATCGAAAGTGAGACGATGATTGCGTAGACGAGTTGATGAAACTAGATGCGTGTTTGCCTCATATATGGTTTCGTTGGTTATTTTTGGCAACCCTATTTTTTTACAATTTTTTACTAAATTACTAAAAAATTAGACTATCTAAGCAAATTTCTTTAAAAAAAATCATTTATCAAGGTTGGTTGAGTAAAGTGGAAACCATAAATACACATTAAAGTTTGGTCAAATGTGGGTGGCACTTCAATACTTCAACTAATTGGTCCTTTTTCTTGCTAAAAAAGGCTGCTAGGGATCAAAAACCACGGGCGACGATTGCACCAGTTGGTGTAGTGTTAGTGGGGTAGTAGGTACGGTGAGTGACATACATATATTATAGTTCCTCCAAAACCCCCCATCTTTGACCCATTGGATTCATCATCTACTCTATTTCTGGCTTCTTTCTTCCTCACTTCATTCCCACACCTTCTGGTATGTTACGTCCTTCTTCCACCTGTTCTGATTCTTCGCAGATCTGTTACACAACTTATTATTGTTTTTGTTTACTTTCAGGTTGTGGATCACTAACTGGTGGAGAAATTTGAGGTAATGCTACTCCTCTATGGTTTCTGTCGGATTATTTGATAACTGGATTTGATGTATCAACGCTTAAGAAAGTTGATTTTGATTCAGAAGTTGTTACGAAAAAGCCTCATGATCTATGTGCACATTTAGGATATTAATTCGGAATGAAAGCAGTTTTCTGCGTCCTCACCATTAGTAGTTGGATTAGTATTCCAACTAATTACATTCTTCTATTCGGAGGTGAATGGTTTAGGGAATCGACAGGATTTCTGATTTCCTTTTATGCGATAACTGATGTGTCTTCTTCCAAAATGTGGATTTGATTTCGTAAATTACTAATAGTTTAACACTTGAGTTTACATCTTTATGAAATATACATGCATATAAAGTTTTCACACGATTATGTATCTGATTTCCCTGCATTTCATTTGTTAAGTTAGATTACAGAATTTGCATAAATCTGATCTGGTGGAAAGAAGGTTCGGATCCAAGAATAATGAGTGGTTTGCATGGTGTGTTTGTGACATAAAATTGATTTGTTGTCATGATATCATTCAAAGAAACTTGTAATTGCAAAACAAAAAGCACATTGTTCTTGTGGAGAAGTAATGATAGATAATATGCTTTTGGTTTCATCAACGAAACTTAAAAATCTGAAGATGCTACAAGTAGCATCTATTTATCATCCCAACAACCTATTTTTTTATACTGATATATTTTTTGAAATTGATCCCTCATTAGGTTCTTTGCCTATTTGCTGAGCAATGGAGTTCTTGCAAGCGCCTGAGATCCAAATTGGCATTGGTTTTGCTGTTGTCATTGTTACCCTTGTTGCTTTCATCCTTTTCTCCTCCAAGAAAACCAAAGGTTCCTCATACTCCATAAACTCACTTTCTTTTATTATTTTTATTCCAAGTTCCATTTTGGCTCATGGGTTCCATCTGGTTTATCTGAAAGACTAAATCATAAGTTTATGTGTTGTTGTGAACAAACAGGGTCCATAGATCCTGAAAATTTTAAGCAATTCAAGCTTGTTAAGCGCACACAACTTAGCCATAATGTGGCCAAGTTCAGATTTGCTCTTCCTACACCTACTTCAGTCTTGGGACTTCCTATTGGACAGCATATTAGTTGCAGGTATTAATAGCAAACTGGTTTCTCCATTTCAAATTTTCACCAAAATTGACATGAAATTTTACAACACTAGAGAAATTAATTGTGGTACATGGGAAAAATCTTGGTTTTAATTGATAACAAATGCATATACATTAAGGCTGAATGCAAGAAACACAATGTACTTATGTTTATTTGTGTTTTATAACTTTCATTTCTTTCTATTACAGAATTATGCTTTCAGTTTTTTTTGTTTTTTTTTCTTGTTAAGAATTTTTATGAAAATCTACCCAAATCTATCAGTGTAGAGTTTTCATAGTACAATGCTGAAAAAGAAAGAACAACAGTAGGATGCTATAATAAACAAATCAATGAAAGTACATTGCTTTTTTTGCTATTAAACCTATAAATTTTAATCTCAAAATGCATATACATCAGGGAGTGTTTCTTTTTTACCAATAAATTTGCTTGTTTTTTATTTGATTCTTTAGGGGTACAGATGGACAAGGTGAAGAGGTTATTAAACCATATACTCCAACCACTTTGGATTCTGATGTTGGATATTTTGAGCTTGTTATTAAGGTACATAATATATTATACAAATTTGTTTACACTTATCATTTATGTTATATATTATACAAATTTGTTTACACTTATCATTTATGTCATATTGTGATGTGTAAATGTAGATGTATCCTCAAGGTAGGATGTCCCACCACTTCAGAGAGATGCGTGAAGGTGACTATATGGCTGTAAAGGGGCCTAAGGTTAATCAAGTCATTTATACTTGTTCTATGTCTTTCTATTTTTTTTTTCTTTTCTATAAATCTGTGTTTATTGATGAATCATCTGGTGTGATGTTAGTTAAATGATGAATTGAAACTAATCTTATTTGTAAGTAAGTTTATTTATTTGTTTTGGACTTGAGCTTTAAAATATTGTAAATTACATTTTACAGGGGCGTTTTAGGTATCAACCAGGTCAGGTTACAGCATTTGGAATGATTGCTGGTGGATCTGGCATCACTCCAATGTTTCAGGTGTTTATTTATTTATTTTAAACCTTATCAAGTCCTTTTTTTTTAAAATAAGATGGTAATTTATATTTTGTGTTGATAATGTTAGGTTGCTAGGGCTGTTCTTGAAAACCCTTCAGACAAGACAAAAGTGTATCTCATCTATGCTAATGTCACATCTGATGACATCCTTCTTAAGGCAAGTAATTATATATACATAGTTTTAGTTTCTTATATTTAAATAATTTGATGATGGATTAATTAATTACACTTACAGGAAGAACTGGAGGGACTTACTTCTAATTACCCTGACCGCTTCAAAGTTTACTATGTATTGAATCAGGTAGCTATTCTTAGTAACTATAATAAAGAAATGAATGAAAGTAGGTTGCTGTTTGTTGCATTGAATTGAACCCTAATAATTCAAATGTAGAATGAATCTTTCATTTTTGGGTTTATTATAAAATATAAATTAAAATTATCGGCCTGGTTTTGTACTTGTGTAGCCACCAGAGGGATGGACAGGTGGCGTTGGGTTTGTATCAAAGGAAATGATCCAAGACCATTTACCTGCACCTGCATCTGATATCAAGGTATCCTATTCTATTCCTTTCATTCAAACATGTTTTCAAATTTTATTCAAAAGTCGTAAAAAAAAGGTCAAAACCTAAATAAAATACATATTTTGTGTGTGTGTGTGTGAACAGATTTTACGGTGTGGGCCACCACCAATGAACAAGGCGATGGCTAGTCATCTTGAAGCTTTGGGATACGAATCAGATATGCTATTCCAATTCTAAATCCAAAACCTCCTATTGAGATTTGAGATTACTGTGTTAGATTTTGTTTGTTGTATTTGGGATTTTGTTAGTGGGATTTGTGTGTACTCTATCTAGTTGAATAAACTTTAGTTTTTCCACCTCAAATTGATTGACTGACGCGCTAACTAAGATGGTTCATGATTGTGAATTGTTGCATGCAAGCTCAAACTCAAACATACGAGATGCTTAGGTTAAAAGCGTCTTTTTTTAAATCCTTCTTTCTGCACCAAGTTAAAATGAAACACTAATATCCAAGTTTAAGTCGTTCATTTAGCTCAAATCTTCATCTTGTCTTTCATTCTTTACATACACAACTTTTCTATAAGCATCGTTCCAACTTTCTTCAACATTCCTTTTTTTTATTTATAAGTAATTTCAGAACCCATTATCTTGTAGCAACACTTTTAACTTTCCATAATAATTGCGTCATACATACTTTTAATAGCAAAAAGGTGTGTGGTCTACCAATATCAAGTGTTGAATTGGTGCCCCTCAAACTTTGGTTGAGGGTTCAGATCAGGGGTTTGTTGCAAGAATAACAGTTAGATATGAAAGTCATAGAGACAAGTCCTGGTTTAAATTCATTTGCATTTACGTTTGTACAGATTTGAGACCACAAAATTGGCCTTTACTTGTTTACATTCCCCTTCTCTTTTGTGAAATTCAAATCACTTTACAACCGGGGCAATCTTAACATTTCATCGTTTTAACATATTATACGCTGGCAAATCTTTGACACTTGTGACATCTTCAAGTGACAATTCTCGCTCCAGTTGCATTCTTGTGGATTTCATAACCTCCTACAAATCACCACAATTTTAGTTTTACAATTTTTGGGTAAAAAATAAAAACAATATTAAAACTTGTGTAATTGCTCACATTGAATTCCATATATGAAGCACGTTTAGCAAGCCAATGAGCATCCATGAGCTTAAAGGCAACACAGTACAGCTCATCAAATGCCAACTCATTGTTACTCAGAAATTCCAAAAACCGTATCCCTGACATAGATGTTGGCTTTCCTGCAAATCATCATAAATCTCTTAATACAACTTAATAGAGAAAGTCAAAAATGAGGGTCAACTTTTTAAATATATCATAATTCATAATTTACAAATTAAGGTACCAAAATTTGGATTTATGTACCTGATTGAAGTTCCAACAATTGCACCAACATGAAAGAAATATTGATGCCAGCTACAGCAAAAGGATACTCCCATTCAGATCTATCTCCTTCATTTTTGTTTAGAAGGTTCTGGAATGCTTCCTGTTCATGTTCATATAATGGAAAAAGAAAAAACAAATTATGCAAATTTAAATAAATAGTATATTTACGAATTGACAAACCACCTCCTAAAGTAAGGGAAAAGACACTTTTCCCATTTGTGTCGTAACTTTTTTACAATTTTGACCTCATTTACTTTTAGGCTAAATGCATGAAATAGCAACTTTAATCAACTTATTTGGTGTCTTTTTTAAAAATCTACCTAATTATAGCAGTGAAAATCACTTTATATTTATATGACATAGTTACAATTGAGTAATTTTGCAAAGTAAAATGCTGTAAATAATATATAATGCTATATAGTAAACATGGCCTAAATATTCTGGTAAAGAAACAAACCGGATATTTCTTGGCAAAGAAGATAAGATTCTCTAGAGATATAAATCCTCCACCCCTGCAAAAATAGCATTCAAATTTATTTATTAAAATATTTAAAGCATATAAATTTTGTTACATGGACTTTAACAATGTTATTTTTACCTGAAGTCTGTAGAAGGATCAGATCCTTGCCACCCCATCTCTTTCCATACCTCTGATTTAAGCCCAGGGAGTTCCCTATTTGGATATGCTGACCTCCATAATTGCCTTAATGCATCCTGCCACTCAAACACCCAGACTTCCATTATTCTATCAAATTCTAAGAAAAACAAAAATCCCCAATAAATGAACCTTTTTCAACAAAAACAACAAACAAGATACTTACTTGATGCTCCAAACATGAACCATCAAAAGGGACTTCCAATCTTTTCTGCAGACTTCTCAGTCTTGCCTCCTACCCAAGAGAAGAAAAGTAACAAATGATAATATATTTCATGTGTAGAATTGTGTATTTTTTCTTATTGATTTTATTTATACCTGTAATGGAGTAAGTAATGGTGGAAGAAACTTCTTTGTTGGGCCACTTCCTGTTGTTGAAGGCAAAGTCCAAATCCGTGCAATAAATGATCCGGATCCAAGTAGAACTCTTGCTACAAGAAACAAAATGGAAATTTTCTCATCAATTAAAACTAAACATTACAAAAAAACGATTCTTGAAGTAATAACTCATACCTAACCATTGTGCCCATTCTGAAATTATATTAGAGAACAGAAATGCCCAGTGGAGGTTTTCTTTTCTTTTTTCATCATACATAATATCTTCATCCGTTTGTACCTAAAAAACAAAGATTAGATACCCATCATAAATATCATATTATATATTGGGAATTGGGAAGATGAAATCACCTGTAATTCTTTAGCCTTGTTGTCATCGTTATTCCCAAGTAAAGGTTCATTTAGGTCATCCAAATCTGCACCTATTAAATGCTCATGTTTTTTACCACCGACATCTCCATGATGGAGTCTTCTCCTTATCGTTCGTGATGTCATTAGTCCTATTATGTTTAATCTGTCTGACGCCTGTTCAATTTTATCATGAAACCACGATTTTAAGTTTCAATTTTATATGCTCAGAAGCTAATGTAGAACTAGGTTCATAATCTTTAACTTCTGAAGTCAAACTACATATCTCAAAATCCAAATTTGATATGGATTGTGAACTGTATGCCCAAATTGATTAGAAAATCTTTCTATTTGTCATGAAAATTCACCAGCAATTATATTTTACTTGAAGATCTAGAGCAATTCATACGAACTTCGAAGTAAAAATTCACTAGGGTTGACATAAGTATACGACTTCGGAAGGTGTACTTGATATGTTATTAATCATCGACCAATTCACTAGGGTTGACATTAGTATACGACTTCGGAAGGTGTACTTTGATATGTTCTTAATCATCGACCAAACAGTCTTTCCACAAAAGCAAAATTATGATTCGGGCATGACGAGTTAACGATAAATCAATTTCAATTTAATGCGATTAACAGGTGATCATATGATCAAGAATGGATCTTACCTTGAAGGGAGAGAAGCGGATCGGTGAAACCCAAATCGAGTTCCAGGAAAATTATAACGAGGGAGTTAGGTGAAGAGTAAGAAACGAGGCGAAGAACACCCTTTCTCTCTTTCCCTCCCTGTCTCTCCCTAGGCGAAGCGTCAGAAGAAGGAACAGAGACTTCCGATCCTTTCTTTACATGTACTTCACGTTTCTGGACGTCAGCCTAAAATGTTATTTCTTCGAAACAGGGCACACCGCAAAATCAGCGAATTTCGTTAACACCGACTTGATTGAAATGGATGGGTTTGGTTCGGTTTCCATAAAAACCATGGATCAAACGTTTATATCAATCAACTTTTATAGTATTATTATTATTATTATTATTTTATTATTATTAAAATTGTGGAGAAAATGAACAGTTAAATTGAGTTAAATTGACATAGTTTGTCATTGATTTACATATCCGGTCCCTCTATAATTGGTTGTGTGTCACTTCTTTAATTTATTCATGTCATTATTAAAGATGTTAAAGATGTGAAGAATAGGAACAGTAAACTGCATGAGGGGTTGATAAAATCAGTCCACAACTTTCTATATTTTCAATAGTTCAGATTTTTGACACTAGACTTTATCATATTGCCAATTTAGTCCCTTAAACAGTACTTGACCAGATATTGTTTCTCGGTTACCACAAGGTTAAGCATTTTACTTCCCGATCCTTCCACCGTCTTCCTTTTATCTCCCACCGCTTCTTCATCTCGATCCTTCGACAGGGTTTCTCTTTAGAAACGATTGAGCACCGCCATCATTTCTATGCCCACCGCCCCTTTCTCCCGATCAGGTGCTCCACCGCTTTTCTTACCCAACCGGGTGTTCATCGGGTTACTGTCTACCATGGTCACCGCCTCTACCGCTTACTTCCTATGTACGATCCATCTTCTCCCTTCTAATATCCGTCTACCCGTTACCGTCTCTAAATGGGTGCAGCAATAACAGGTCGGAGAGGAAAACGAAGGAATCGCCAAGGTAGTCGGCGTGTGGTTGTGTCGAAGACTGATTCCTGTCGCTTCCGACATAAAGGCTTTTGGTATCGGTTATTTCAGGTACATATTTTCTTCAACGTCTGCTCCTATATCACTTCTTCTCCCGTCGTTCCTCTTATATGCGACAGATTTCTTGAATCCGTTTGTTAATGTGTTGTAAACCGGATACCCATATAAAGTCGAATAGATTTTTCAGTTTGGGGTTTTCATTTTACCTTCGCTTTGCTCTTTAGATGTCTGTGGCATGCAATGGCAGAACGCCTTCTCCACCCTGTATCACCCCATCAAAACCGTTTCTGATCCTCACCGCCTTGAACTGCCATCCTAAAATCGTAGATGTGAATTTTTGTTTGGCTTCTTTCCGCAATCGACTGCAGATGCTTTTATTTCTAAAAACCGTAGACTTTCAGATGGTGTTTGCCTGGGCTGGAAGATGTAACACGAACTGTGGATACCGACTGGTTGTATCCAATACAAGTGAAGGCTGTAAGGTTGCATGTTAATTTGATTTCGCTGTGGATTTCAGTTCCTATTACATGTTAATTTCATTTCAATTTTGTGTATGCAGTGCATTTCAGTACTTATGTAGACGATTGAACCCTACCATTTCGTCCTTTTCAATTAATTTACAATTTAGTTTTCGGTGTGAATCAATTTACAGTTTGGAGTGCTCATTAGCAAAAGGAAGGCTACATATCGACACAGGTATGACTCTTTTTACTTGGTTACTCTCTGTAACTCTAATTTCTTATTGGTTGTAAGTCACCGTACCACCACCATAATCCAGGTCACCCGTTAAACGTGCCTGGTTGATACGTGTTCTATTTTAGGGCTTTTCAAGAGGAACCCGGGTAAGAGAATCGTCCCCCGCTCTCCGCCGTATGCCGTCGACTCCCATGTGAAGCCTTCGACCAGTACTGTTCTTCGATTTTTTATAACCTTTTTTGTTTGTTACTACTATAGTTTTGGCAAAGAGATTTCAATAAACACAAATTTAATAAATAGATCTTATATAACATAAGTTTTTATGCTGATTGATTACACTATCTGTTCCCTTCCGGTTGATATGCTCATATCATGTAATCATAAATTCCAGTTTAAATAGTAGGGTAAAGTTTATAAGTTTTCTGACTTCATTCATTTGCTATTAATTTAAATTATTATTACAATGCTTCTTCTATTTGTTTTTCTCAGGTTCCATTCTGAACCCTTGGGTTAAGTGTCTTACTCTTTTTCAGCCAAGGAACCTAGGAATGGAATCACCAATTCCATGGATCAAGTAATGATGGGAGTGGAGCTTGAAGAAGTGGACGAGCAACCATGAATCTTTACACCTACACCTATCTTGATGAGAAACCATCAATCAAATTACATACTATGTTCCGAAACATTTTTATTTTGGTAGTTTCTTTAATGATAGTTGTCTCATCTTTTTTCATTCCAGGAAATTTAGGTGGAGATCTGCATTATACAAGTGATAATGGTGTTGACGATTACAGTTGCACCTGTTGTATCTCTTGCTTCATTCGTTACTCCTAAACCTTCTTTTTCGTCGTTGGTACGCTTAATAGGTTTTTTAGTAAAACCTAAAATTTAGTTTTCTAATCTAATTTAATAGCAATGAATGTATTGATCTATTTCTGGTGTTTGTTGTAGTTGGATTATCTATGTTTCATCAAATAAATAAATTTTATAAATCAGAAAAAAAAATTCATAAGATACATTTGAGTTTAAATTTTGGGTTGAAAATTTTGATTCGTTAATGAATTGTTTTAATGAATTGTTGTGAGGATTACACCCGACACCGGTTGTGGGGTGCGTATGTTTTTATTTTCAATTCTTTCTGAATGTTTTTTGTTTGATTTAGGATATTTGAAAATTGTGATTTTTTTTCTTTTTTGGCATTGTTTTTAGGTAGCAAGTTTTGGTCCTTATCTATGGAAGAGAACCGGGTGGGTACTGGGTCCCGATGACATTTGGTAAAAAAAACATTTTATTTTATTTATTAATTCTTGAATTCAACAAAAAAAATTATATATATATATATATATATATATATATATATATATATTTATTATAGGTACAAGAAAATCGAATCGTGTGAGTCCTGAAAGTGGAGGTGATTAGGTGGTGTTTCTTGAACGACTTTATGATGCGGTCCCACCGAGGATAGTTAGCGGTTTGATTCCGAGTCTGTCGGTTGAGAAATACATAGAGGATGGTAAAAAAAATAGAATATACATGAGAATGGTTATAAACGGATGAATGAAATGATTAATTCTAGAAGGTATCAGAATGTAATGTATATGAATACCGCTTTGGAAGGATTTGTAGTTGGAATTCATTCCTCCAAGTTGTGGCTTATGAATGTTGTTCCTACTTCTGCTGAGGCAAATACTCTTGAAGTTTATTTACGAGTGTGGCCTCAACTGGTATATAATATACAAATCTTTTAAAACTTGAAATTTATTAATTAAAAATTGATTATTAAATTAGAAAGACATTAATTAATTAATAAAATAATATTGCAGGTGTGAAGTCTTTTCCATGAATGCAAAGAAGGTATAGTAAGCACATTGTTTGTCTTTAGCTGTTCCATTCAGTTTGAGATTATAGACTTTGAAAAAAAATATAATAAAATCTCATGATTTATGATCATGGGTTTTTGCATGAAAGGGTTCTTAAATGTATTAAGGTTGTGAGCATAATCTCTTTCGGTTTAGCAATGTACATTCTTTATTATTATTATTATTATTTTATAGCATACTACAACACTTTGATATCTTTCCTTATTAACACATTGTCATGTGAAAATTCTATCCAATTATTGGATTGTATTTCAAATTTCTTATTATAACATTTACAACGTTTGTAAATGGAGAATCTCCTACAATGGCAACGTATTTTATTGTGCTAACAACTTAGGCAATGTACTTTACTTTGACGCAAAAGCAACACCTTCTGCCCCCCGCAACGCGGGGGGAAACTTTCTAGTTATTATTATTTTCCATAACTTTTCATTTAACTTTCTAATTTATCATTCTCATTTTGGTCATATGTTTAGCTGAAAATTATCTTTTTGATTCAAAAAGATTTGGAATAACACTGAAAGGTCTAAAGTTTTTATTTGTTGTGAGTTTGATCCAATTTATTTTAAATTTTTTTAAAATGACAATTTTGCTTCTCATTAATTTTATTTTCTATTCTTTTTTTTTACTTTGTTATACTTTTGATTTAAAATTAGACACAAAAAAAAAGAACCCCGCCCCTCACTTTTCATCTTTTTTCCCTCCGATAAACATCACAACCACCAACGGTCATCGGGTTGGACACTACTGCTAAGGGGACTCCTCAGCCATACATGTCCTAAAGGCAACCATGAAGGGGATTGGAGTACGCCAATGAACATTTAGTTCATCAACACCTATAAGTTGCGAACTTGCTAGTGTACCACTGGACTGTCTAGAAAGGTCCGTGATCGTCATTTATACTCTGCTAGACGACTACAACGACAACACCAACAACAACACCGAGGCCTCTCATCATTTAACACCCCACCGACTATTTTTTGTCTACCCATGTTCTACCCAACATATTTGTAGATAAAATACATATACAGTTTAAAACTTGTATAAAACATCTATTCAACAGTCACCTCAAATAAACAATTAACATATTTACACATAGCACGTATTTTAAGCTAAATACTTCATATCTATGTGTAAAGTGAAAGTAACTACACACTCACATGATTTGATGATTTCGGGCAGCAATTCGTTTCCTAAAACGTTCGTTCCTAATAAAACCGAGAGTTTTATTGAGAAATCGGGCTCTGCAAAGGTCGGGCTTCGAAAACAAAAAGATAAATTTTTCGGGCTTCTCGGGCACTTCGTGTCGTATTCCGGGGGTTATAATCGATATCGGGGCTTCGGGGGACGTTAAAATGAAAGAAATATGGAAAGAGGGGCTAAAAGTGACAATTTTCCAAAATATACCCGGGAGGTCTCGCACCCTCCTATTTATAGGGGCGAGCCTCCTGATCCAACGGCTGAGAAAGCTCCAGGTGGTGCAGATCTGAGGGCTCGTAGCACCTGCTCGCACGTGGGCTCGCACATGGCTGCGCATGCGAAGGCTTGATGGCAGCTTCTTACTGGACCGAGGTCTAGGTCCGAAGTAAGGGGGGTTCGTGGCTTCATGCGAGGGTTCGGACACGTGATAGAGGGCACGCGTCGCCTTCTCACTGGACC